GGGCCAAGAGAGTTAAAATATCAGATCATGAGAAAAAGAATGGGCAAACAAAAGAGTGTGTGTGTGTGTGTGTGTGTGTGTGGGTGTGTGTGTGTGTGTGTGTGTGTGTGTGTGTTGCGGTTCAGCTGAGTGAGCGCCCCAGGCCTATACAGTGCCATGTCAGTGTTTATCTATTTCAGCTAAGCGCTCGCTCGTTGAGAGGTACACACTCGTGTAAAGTGGCTGCTGGGTAATCGTGTGAATGGAGATCAGTCAATGGGCAGAGGAGGGAAGGCCCCAGTGCATGTTGGGAAGCAGCTCTGGGGGCAAGGGGGGGTGGGATTGCATAACGCAGACATGTGCTTAACGGGGTCGGGATAAACAAACAGGGATCAATGTCATCATCATCCTCATCAGATCATTAAGGAGAGCCCTGTGGGACTGGCGGCGGGGTCATCACAGGATAATGCCACAGCTTTTTTTTTTTAAAGTTAGTGTCAGTTTAGGTTCCTCTGTCTGCACACAGCCAGTCATGCTTATAAAGATGGACTCAGTAGAACAATAATCTGTCACAGATAACAGGAAACTAAGAGGGGAAATCCACATTCCCCACGATACGCTCTGTGTAAGTTAAACAGTACGTCCTCTGAAGGAACGGTCCAAAATTGTGACAAAAATATTTGGAGAAATACACATTTAACCCACAAGTTGTGAGTTTGCAGAGAAGTGGGCACGTCAGAGCGCTGTGGGTTAAATGGCGTGTTTCATTAGCACTGGGAAACTGAAATTTACAAGTTCCCTGTCGGAAATTTTAACTGAAATACCCACTGAAGTCGGATTTTCTACCCTGAAAGTCAGGGGAATATCTCACCAACTCTGACCTCAAAATCCAACATGGCTGCTCTGCACGTCAACAACAGTGAAAGCTGTAGTGAGACACTGTTTATTAGCACTTCAGCACACAGCACTGTCCAACTTCTACCTGTGATCACGTTTCTATGGTGGCTGAAGTGCAAAATATAGCGTAAAGCGCTGTTGTCAACTGGTATTGCTGACAATGTGTTGGTTTTCCAACTTGTTTACTGGAATGCAGTCAACTCAGCTGTGACATCATTCCCAGCTCCCACTTCCAAGGTAAAGAAACCGAATCACAATGTTTTTTTCACAATAACTTCCAGGTAGACTCCCTGTATCACTTACATGAAATCAAATGGCACTGAGCAAACGCTGCCTCGATTAGTTTTTAGCAGCCTGAAAAAGACCCACAAAAATAATCAGTATCAGTTAAAGTGTGCATTTTATTTAGAATATTTTCGCCACTCTTCCTTACTGTCAGAAAGCCTTTTCCAAATGGGAACTGGTCTACCAGTACGCCAGCAGATTTGGTTTATCAAAGATGCCAGCAAAGCAAGGAAGTACATAAAATAAGCACAGCAGGAAAGTCAGATAAGGTCGCACCGCTCTGTTGAACTATAAATATTTAAATGTTATATTTAAACAACAGAAATCATCAAGTTCGACAGTTTTACACGTCTTCACAGTTGTAATCAGCTGCCAGTTATCTACCTGGAAGTGACTGTTGTTTTTAGCGCAACTCAGTCTAAGGAACGCAGCGTACTGTAAAACATTATCCAGGTGCATTATGGGAAATGTAGGTTCTAGTGCGAGTGAGTCTTAACCCACAGTGGAGACTAAACATCAGAATATCTCGGCCTCTGCTGCTTTCATTTTGACCATTTTTGTTTTAATCTGTCTATTGTGAATCTCCAAACATAATGACAGTGATACTAAGCCTCTGGAATTCCCCTTTAATTTGGTTTGGTCAGGTTTGATCCTTTTCATTACCATGAATCTGTCAATGATAGTTTTAATAATCAACAGACTGCTCAGCATAAAATAAAATAAATTGAGGTAAAAATGTCCAACTCAAGTTTCTGAAGTCCAAAACAACTTCATGACAATATATATATCTATATATATAGATATATATATTTCAGTCTCAATTATTAAGAAAAGCAGCTGGTTATTACATTTGAGAAGGAGGAACCAGCGAATGTGCACTTTTGCTTAATGAGGGTGTCTTCAGATGTTGAACACTTGATTTTAAAATCCTTTTCAAAATAATTTTGAACCAAATTTAAGACTGCTTTTTTGACAAATCATCTTTTTCCGCTGTAGGTGAGTGTAAAGGTAAGTAATGTGGTCCCGTGCAGAGGCAGGTTTTCTGTGTGATTATGGTTATTAGAGTCAGTTCGGATAAATATTTTGCCAACAGATAAGTGCAGGTGTAAAGTAAAGAGACAGTGTTAGGGTCAGTGGGAGGTTTAAAGATGTGTAACACCAGGAATTTGGACTTTCGCACAGAAGAGCTTGACTTAGTTTGAAGAAAAGAAATTAAAAGATGGATACATGACATTAGATAAACAGTTCCTGGCAGACTATTTATGACGTTTAAGGACTAATATTTATACATTTGAATTTAAGACATTTTAAGACTTTTTGAGAGCCTGCAGACACTCTGTTAATAAATGACTCGTAAGGAATAATTAATTATCAAAACTATTGTCAAATCACAGCTTGTGTCCTTTTTTTTAACACTTGATAGTTAATTTCAAGCTACATTTAACACGTCTGTATTTTGAAATGAATGATGAACAGCTAACATTTAACAGAGCTATATTTAACTCAGCGAAGGGCTGACGACTGGAGAGTCAGCGTGAGCACGAGTGATTGACAGTTTACAGTAATGAATAGCGAAGAAATGTTTGCAAAGAAATCTAATCAGCTGTGCAAATGGAGAAGAGGAGAACAGGTTAAAGCCAGGAGTATAAACCTAAATGATACTGCTGTACAGACAACAATACAGCAGCACAGATCGATCACCAAATATGCTCACACCACAGATGCACCTACTGCACATGATGCAGAGTTTGTCTCTACTCGACAACTGTTTCCACCTCCTGCACAGCACTGTGAGGCTTAACTCACTGTTACACAAGACAGATGACTCTGTGCCAGTGACTGTCCTAAAACTGGAAGTTAAGTATCTGACGACCAGACTGGTATCACCTCACCTCAGCCTGTGTGACTCTGTGTGTGTGTGTGTGTGTGTTCCCTCACATCTGCTGGTGAAGACATGTGCAGCTCTGTTGACTTTCACCTCATCACTCCGTCACTGTGTGTATCCTCTCACACTAAGAATAGGTAGGAAGCTTCTAAACAAGCCGCAACACTATTGTCACAGCAAACTGGCGCCCAAGGACTGATAATTATACATCCTGTGTGCGAAGGGTTATATATAGTTGTGTGTTTGTCATGATGCGTTAGAGATGGGTACATCTCCCGGAAAAATGAGGACATAAGCATGCAAGCGCCTGTGTGGGCACATATCCACAGAGGAGGCAAACAAAGAGATGAAGATGGGTGCACACACACACACACACACACAGGAATAATTAATCAATATTGTTTCCATTAGCAAACTGGAGAGGGAAGACACTGCGCCATAATTAGGGAGCACTGCGGATCTACTAGCTCATCTCCTCAAGCAGCAAATCAAGATGAACCCACACACACACACACACACACACACACACACACACATTTCTCCCTGTGTCTTTGCTGTGGGTACATTTTTTGCATGACCTCTCTTGGCAACAGATGCTTAATGACCACAGAGGACTCAGGAATAATGTTCAGTTATATCATCAAAGACAAAAAAAGCACCAAGTGTTGGGGGCAGGGCGGGAGAACCCAGTGACAGTTTACGTAAGGTCTCCTGCCACAGCGCTGTCATGCTGCTGACGTCAGACTGAGAGTCGGTGAGGAGGGAGATGCAGAGTGTACGGGTGGAATGAAAAGAGCCGGACACAAGAGTGAGCATTTGAAAACACTATTAGAAAATTCTGATCTGGGTGGAAAATAGAAAATCTATTCTGAGTTGAAACGATTATAGCCTGCAGTGCATTTGGAGATGCAGCCATTTCCATGCTGCTGCTGCTGCTGCTGCTGCAGTGCACTGAGGATGTGAAAAACAGATTTGACAGGATTACATAATCCAGTCAGTCTAAGTCAGCGAGGACTGCTGGTAGGTAGACTACCTGCTGTCTCCATTATTCATCTGCCTTTCTATCCATCACCACACATGTTGAGTGACTGTGTTATTCCTCCTTTGGAACAATCTAGTGGGAGTGCAGATATATTGTGAGACTCCATCAGAGCCCGTGCAGGGACTGTTCCATTGCATGGCAGCAGGTCTTTGTTGTCAAAGGATGCTGATTTATGGGAGCAATAAAAGGAGAGCAAACCGGGACTGCAGAGAGGAGCTGGCATCAAGGAGATACTGAGCTTTGCACTGCATGAAATGGCTGCCGTAAAGTCACATAAAGATTAATAATATTCACGATCATGGGTTTGCTCTCAGCAGACAGGAGGGGGGTGAGTACAGGCCTGAGATATGGCTCACACAGAGCTTAGTGAAGACTATAAATAGACTCAACATAAAGGAATACATCAATTTTACTGAATAATTTGGCACTGTTGTGATATTTGTTTTTACATCATAAAGAGTAAAACTGCCTCCTATTGGGGAATATTTCCTAAACACTTGTTTCATGAATTTTCCTAAAAACAGGAAGGAGAGAAGGAAGGAAGAGATCACTCCACTAGTGTCCAAAATTGACGCTTATATAAAGGACATGGCAATTGCTACTTGATTAGCATTGGAAATAGATGAAATTAACAAAAGCATATTTTCATATTTTTTTCTGTAATATATCAAATTAAATCCTGGCTCAAACACCCACATTACACTAAAAGCCTCGCCATGGCTGACATGTGTTTTACATGCGTAAAAACAGTTTTACGCGTTAATTACGCATGACGCATAGATGCCTAATGGGATTGCTCACATCCAGTGCGTGTCATGGCTGAAACTAAATGTACTAGAGATGATTAACATGCCGTATGGTTGATGATATTCCATGCACGGACCCTCACCCACCAGCCCTTCCTCCCCTCACCTGTCCTTTTACGAGGCTGGCCGCAAACTGCCTCATGACCGCCTCCACCGTGTAGGCGCTGGACCATCCGCGGGGGGTCAACAGCTCCATGCATATGGCCCCGCCGTCCAGCACGTAGCCGTTCTCCAACCGTGGCGTCAGGACCCGCATAAACGGCGGCGAGAAGGGGAAATTATCGGGAAAGGTGACGTTGAGCAGAATGAACTCGGTGCTGGTCTCCTTCATGTCCTGCCACAGTGCCGAGTCCTTGTCCACCTGGTGCAGCTTGACGTTCCAGTCATACAGGTTGTCCTCCACCAGCTCCACCGTGATGAAGTTGTCCCCTAACCTCCTGATCTCCTGTAGCTCCTTCATCAGCCTCCGCGTCCGGACCTGGGTGCAGTGTTGCCGGTGAGGCGCCAGCGGTGGTATGGAGGAGGCACTGGTCGCTTTACTCCCGCCTCCTCCCGTCTGCTGCTTCTCCTTTGCATCCTTGCCCTGCTTATCCTTGCCGGACGGCTTGTCCTTGCCGAGCTGGTCCAGCTTCCTCGCCTTAATCTCCGGGGTGCTCAGGATGTTGGTTTCGTTGGCGGTCTGACAGTGTTTGTTGGCGTTGTTTTTCTGGTTCCCTTTGGTCCCCTTTAGTGAGCCCTGATGGTGCTTTGGGTCTTCGGTGTCTCGGTCGTGCAGGCGGATCAGACCGATCTTCCGCAGTAGAGTGGCCATAATTTTCACAGATCTATATTTCTCCGCCGATCCCCCCGCACAGGGGCAAGAATCACCCTCTACAGCCGGTCCCCGCTCACACAGAGGACCTGCACCGATGCCGATTATTAACCTTGTACCGCAATCCCCCCTCCGCTCACTGCAGCCTCAGGATCAACACAACCGGGGAGCCTGTGCAGTCTTCTCCTCAGTGCATCGTCTCGACGCGGCTCGACTGGAGACAAAAACATCACATTAATGCCAGTTCAGATTAATATTCATCTTCACACAACACTAAACAATTTATTTAAAACACATCGATGGAATCCAGTCATTTCTCTGACCGACATGATGACTGTGACTGCAGTGGTCCAATGATAGGACGATGCGTTACGCAGAGCTGATGATGTTATAATACATTTTAACACAAGGCTGCGTTACATGTTCTCACAGCGGAGACACGGGTTACAGGAATATAGAACAAAAAGTATAGAAGGAGCCATGATGGGTGACTGAAGGATAAACACCACAATGCATCACAAGGTTATTATAACAAATTATCTCTAATGATACAAGACACACTGACTCACACAGAGACAGGCTATGGGAGAATAAAACATGTAATAAATACAGGATAAACTGAAGGATTATATCATTATAGAGGATTAAATTACCACACAGTCACGATCAGATCAATATGTATCTCAAACACACTCTAACCCACACTGAGTCCTGATCATAAGCCCATCATACATGTTCCTCTCCCGCCCACACAACCCGGTGTTACAGCAGCACACCGACAGCAGCCAGGTGCCTACCGTAGACGGCTGAAATCCACCGTATGTCCGTTTATATATCCCGTTATGTAGACCGGACACCGATCCCTCTGTGTGTGAAAGAAGAAATGGCTCCACCATCCAGGAGAGCCTCCGTCGGTAGGAGCTGCAGTGAGGAGGAGGAGGAGGAGGAGGAGGTGGTGGAGGAGGAGAGTCTTTGATGTGTGTGCAGCTGCGGCAGCTCCAGCTTTAATGCAGCCTAGGACGAGCCAGCCCCCGGTAATCCTCCTCAGCCAGGCTGTTGTCACCGGTGGAGCTGCAACGGAGACGCCCTTTCAAAATAAAAGCCCTGGAGTTAGGTTATGTTAAAAGCAAACCAAGCACCACAGTAGGGACATTCATGTGGAAATATGCTGTGTGAAATCAGGGACTGTTCTTTATTTATCAGTGGAGGGGGGTTGGGGTTTTTTGGATCCTCCCTGCTGATGCTGCAAATATTTTTCCTCAAGCCTCCCTGAGGGACCAGCAGAAAATCAATCACCACCATAAATTAGTGATTAGATTTTTAAAACTTCCCATTACATGTTCAAAAGTTATAAGTTAAAAGTTGAAGACAAAATCCTGGAGTTGAAAAAAGCTTCATGTTTTCATTGTTGTGCATGCTGGTTTGTTCGTGTAAACGGTTTGTTTTGGGCCAAATTCTAAATGAGATGTAGATTACAGGAATCAAGATTAAGTTTATCGTGGGAAATTTGTCCTGGGCTCTTCGCCCATGCTGCAGCTAAAAAAGGTACAATTTACAACATAGTACAGAATATAGTGTTTCACATTTATGAGTTTTTTCTGATTGAAGTGTTCATTGTACAGGATGTGTCCAAGGACTGTCAGAAATGTGAAAATCCAACAATAATTTCTGTTTTTACAGTTTCTGGCTGTGTTTAATTTTGACATTTTTTTGGCTTCATAGCCTTTATTATATAGAACAGCTATAGTGTGAAAGAGGGGAGAGAGGGAATGACATTAGAATCAAGCCTTTGTCCACTGCAGCAAGGACGTAGCCTTTGTACATGGGACACCTGCTCTACCAGGTGAGCTACCAGACGTCCCAATTTTATTTATTTTTAAGCCGCAATAAAAAACCCAAGTCCCTCCCCAATACATAAAAAATGATTTGACATGCATCACCCATTTTGCACCACTCCTCCCCTCAAAAATAACAAACAGTCCCTTACAGCATATGACAATTACAAGTAGGACCATAACAGCTCAGCTTAACAGTAAAAATAATTTAAAAAAAAGTCACTAGCAACTTCATAATTATTGGGTGTATATCCTGATGAAAATAGGCAATAATTTTCTGTCTCTTTGTGTTGTTCTGCCTCGATTGATGTGGTTTTGTGTCTTTTTGCAGCCATTTTGCAGGTAACTGTGTGTCTGTTTTGGTCGTTTTATGTCTCTTTGTGTTGTTTTGCCTCACTTTGTAGTTATTTTGTGTCTCTTTGCAGTTCTCTTGCATCTCTTTGTGGCCTTTATTTGTATTTTTGTGGTCATTTTGAGTCTCTTCCTGGTTGGTACATGTTAATTTGAGTGATACTTTGCAGCTGAAGGCCAGGGGGAGGGCCTAAGACTTTGGGCCCCTGGACCTGTGCCTGGTAGGCCCCTTAAATATTACAACATACATCAATGCTGATAATAAAATGCAGGGTTTACAATATACACATCATACAACCAATAATATCAGTGCTGCAAGAAAAAGAATGGAAACATGAATGTGTTACAACACTGAGAGCAGTGCCACAGAAAAGAAACATCACTTTTAATCTATAATGAGTCTCAGAAATATAGACTATATATTAAAAGGCCAGAAGTCATTTTAAAACTCTATCCCACATGCAAAACGTTGTTGTAGTACCTAAATATTTAGATTTAGAGACCACATCATTCTTGGCTTGTGCATGGTGTCATGTAAGCAATATAACATTACTTTTATTTTGAAGGTTCGTGGTATATTTCCTGTTTAATTCTAACTCTCTGCAGCTTTGTGTTCCTGTGTCTACCTAAAAGAAGAAGGAAGAAGCTGCCAGCAGAATGTAATCTCACGTCACTTTCACTTTTAGTCACACATTTACGCCATGCAGTCAGCACATGTATGTACACACAGGAAAGGTTTTCCGGAAGAGATCCCTCATAACTGAGTCAACTGACAACCCACAACTAAGTGACATATTTTAACATTATTTTATATTTAATACACATGAGTAACAGCACAGAAGAACTGATAAACTTTATGACCCAAACACTGAACGCAATAACTGCATGAAGTTGCAGGAAGTGAGTGATTTGGATTCATTTTGAGCTCATATATCCTGTGAATGTGTCTCAAGAGATGAGTTTTGAGGAACTTTTTATACAATTCTCTGTCTCTGTTGTGTTTTTTTTTTAATTTCTGACAATCACACACACTTTATAGGCTTCTTTTTTTTTGATAAATTCAGTGTTTCCATCTCCCTGATGCTCGGCCATTGTTCTACCAGCACACTGGTTGTTTTAACTGCGTTCATTTCTAAGTTTATATCTTGTATAATAATCTAAATTTAAATGATATTTTCTTTTGGTTTTCTTCAAGGTAATGGATGAAATACTTAATGTATATGTTAAAACATTTTTCTGAAAATAAAGAAGGCCTTCCTTTGGTGACCTGTAATCAGGGTCTGGACCCCAGGCTGGGTACCAGGGCCTTATACTGTGTCTGTTGGGAAATACAGGATGTATTAAAGCCTTTGCCTCAATAAGATAATAAGAGATAGAGAGCCTAATAACCCAAGTGCCAGACTAAAGTAGGCCAGTATTTCTACATTTGTCAGACCTAGGGTTATATTTTTCTATGAAGTGTATACTTTATAACATAGAGCATACAACATTCAAACATATTTGTAAATCAGCATTAAATAAATACTGTGCTCTATGTATATTTAGTCATATAATCTAGCTGGAGACATTCTAGCTTTGACACAAACAGTGTCAAAGCTAGTTAATGTTTTTTTTAGTCTTGGATTTGTGGCACATACTTAAGCATGAAATAATATATATATTCTTAATATGATTTCAATAACTATAAACATTAACATTTACTATTTTAACTCTTTATTACTGGTTTCATTTCTCTGCAGTGTTGAAGACAATTCTTCGTCTTGACAAAGAGCTTCTTCCTGTCCGGAAGCACGACACTTCAGGGTTGGTTAACGGCAATCTGTCATTGGCTGTTACAGGTTGTTACCGAGGTAACGCAACAGCGCCCACAGCGATTGGCTATGCCATTGCCGCAAAGCACTTCGGCGTTGTGACTGTCGTGGAGTCGGTGGCTAACAGTCAACGGTTATTTGACAGAAGGATTCTAGTAAACGGAGACGTTTATATTTATTTTAACAGTTTAGTAGCTGTTAATTAAGATGGCGGAAAAGTTTGACAACCTGGAGGAGCACCTGGAGAAATTCATCGAGAATATTCGACAGTTGGGAATCATCGTCAGCGACTTCCAACCGAGCAGCCAAGCAGGACTCAACCAGAAACTGTGAGTCAGGTTTTTACTGAGGTCGATATAACGACACGAATCTGTAAATAATGACCGTGTTTACATGTTGTGTTGTTGTTTGACTCAGAAACTTCATGATATCCGGTTTGCAAGACATCGAGAAGTGCCGTCAGCAGCTGCATGAGATCAATGTGCCGCTGGAGGTCTTTGAGTGAGTAACATTAGCTGTTATATTATCATACCTGTCTGGCTTTATAACATGGATATAATGTTTTCTTTACACCTGTGTTGTTGTCTGTCATTTCGGTTAATGTATTTGTTGTGTTAAGACAATAAATGTCGCTTTCCGTTAAAGCAACACCAAACCTCAATCGAGAATCTGATGATTTTATAGTTTCAGTCCTCGTCCCCTCCTCTGGTGATGTTTCATGCTACATTTTACTGTTGTTCTGCATAGCTCAGACTCACTTTAAAATTCGGCACACACACATCATAAAAATTACATTTTAAACTTCTCCAAATTTTGTTCACCTTGTGTCTTGCCATTTTTTAAGTGTACTTTATTGGGTGGAGGATTGCTGAAATAATGATAAGAAATAAGCAATCAAAACTTAATTTTTTTAATTTAGTTTTTAATTTTGAAGACATTTATTTACAAATGAACAGACAGAATACAAACAAAACAAACAAGGTACATACAAATTGGACAATTAAAAAAATAAATAAAGAAAAATCCCATAATCCCTTAACACTTCAAGTCTAACCTCCACATCCAAACCCTACCTTCATCCTCTGTCCTTAATCAAAGTACTCTTCAAGCAGTATTGGTCTCAGTCGCCATCATGATCCTTCTCTCCTCTTTGCACTTCATCCCACAGTACAAACAACAAGCAACTCTCGGCTTTATAGAATAACACCAACAAAGGAAAGACATCAGTTTTTAGTTCATGTTAGAACAAGTGAGTTAGTGGTTTAAGAGAGGGGGATAAAAACAAAAACAAACAAATATCATACATACAATCATATATATGCACATCATTTTGACATTAAATAATGTTCCACTGGTGCCCGTGTTTCAACATATTCTGTCTCATTATTTTGCAATCAAAACTTGAAATATCACACAGCAAATCAAAAAGTGACCCCAAATGATTTGGAATAACTTTGGAATATCCATTGTAATTTACATTTTTATTTATATTAACATAATCATTCTAACACGCTGATTTTATACAAAAATTCAGATGATATAAGAGGAGTCAGAGTCAATAATAATAATTATTCCAATAATTATAATAAAATAAAACAAATTTGTTTTCCCACAAGTCTTCAGCAGCCCCTCCTGTGGCAGAAGGTTGCCTCGTTCTTTTTAAACCAAAAAGGTTCCGCCAATATGTCTACCCCTACACGGCGGAAAATTGGGCACCTTGGATCAACTCGCCAGTCCGGCTCTGTGTGTCTAAACGCTCGCAGCTTACTGGCAAAACGGCCCAACATTCGCTGAAAATCTGGCAGCGTAAAAGGGGCTTGTGACTCAGAAGTAGAGCAGGTCATCCACTAATTGGACCAGGTATAATTGGGCAAGATACTGAACCCCAAATTGCTCCGGGTGGCTGTTCCATCGGTGTGTGATTGTGTGTGAATGGGTGAATGTGACTCGTAGTTTAAAAGCGCTTTGAGTGGTTAGAAGAATAGAGAGGCACTATGCAACTGCAGTCCATTTACCATTCATCATTTAC